GTGGTTGTAAAACATCTTTTATAAGTAATTGAGAATCTTTATTTTTAAAAGCATTTAATAAAAATGTTCAGGTACATTAAGTAGTAACAGTAAGAAAGACATCTGATAGTACTTCTTTGTCAAAAGAGGTCTGAAAAAGAAATTGTGAACAATATTGATTTTTGTTAACTGTAAAGAATGGCATTAATCTGTAATAGCGACTAAAACAGACTTAACAAAAGTAGAGAGAGGGTATGGGAACTCAAACTTACAGATCCTTGAAAGGAAGATAGATTTTTGCCAGAGGATATTAATTACTCACCAGACAAGCAGAAGACTGGACTACATAAAGCCTCAAGAGAGCCTTTCTAGCTCTGTACCTCTCTGAAGACTCTAGACAAGATTTGAGAGATTTGGGAGTGGCTGGTTATAACCAAGTGATAACACACACCATCCTCAGTCCCATGTCTTTCAGAAGATGATGATAGAAGCACAACATCTAAGACTGCCTAATTCCTTTGTTAAGTTTCAACCAGAACCCTAAAAAAAAAAGTTTGTTTCAATTTGCTATTAATTCAGTTTGTTTCCCAGTAAATCTGAAATGGAACTGTTATTTACTCCCAAGTTCAGTACAAAGATGAGAAAATACTGTGAAAAAAAAAAAAAAAAAAAAAAAAAAACAAAGAAAACAAAATGAAAGGGTAGATAACAGGATATAGGCTCTCTAGAATCAAACAGACAAAATCTGAACTCCAACTCTACCCCCTTTACTACCTGTGTAATCCAGACAAGTTAACCTCTCTCATCTCAGTTTCCTAGATTGTAAAATAAGTATTTTAAGAATACCATCAGGGAAATGCAAAACAAAACCACAAAGAAATTATCACTTCACACACACTAGGGTGGCTAAATCAAAAAGACAGACCGTAACAACAGTTGGAGAGGAGGGGAAGAAATTGGAACCCTCAGACACTGCTGGTGGGAATGTGTAATAGTACAGCCCCTTTGGAAAACAATCTGGCCATTCCCCTAAACAGTGAAACATAGAGTAATCACCTAATCTAGCAATTCTACTCCTCGGCATCTACTCAAGAGAAATGAACACGTGTGTCCACACAAAAATGGATATATTAATGGTTATAGCAGCATTATTCCTAATAGCCAAAAAGTGGAAAAGAGCCAAAAATTCATCAACAAAAGAACAGGAAAATAAAATGTAAGGTATCCATACAAAGGACTATTAGCCCTACAAGAAAACGAGGCACTTCTACATGGTACAGGCTATAACATGGACAAACCTTGAAAACATTATACTAAGTGAAAAAAAGCCAGTCACAAAGGACCACATATTCTATGATATATTCGAAGGAAACGTCCAGAATAGGCAAATCCCTATAGAGACAGCAAATAGATTATAGATTGCCTCTCCTGAGAGGTGAGGAAGAAACAGGGGAATTAGGGAGTGACGACTACAAGTGCAGGGGGTTTTCAGGTAATAAAAATGTTCTAAAGTTGATTGTGGTAATGAATATATGATGCTGTGAATATACTAAAAGCTATTGAGTTGTACACTTTAAATGAGTGAAGTGCATATGTGAATTACATTTCAATAAAGCTACTAAAAAATAATTGGGTTCCCACTGCACGACAGTTAGTTATTTACCTTCTTTATGCCTCAGTTAACTCTTAAGTAAAATGAGATCAATAATTTTACCTACCTCAAAGAGTGTGGGATAAAATCAAATCAGTTAATATATACCAAAGTACTTAAAATGAAGCCTGCACATATAAAGTGCTCAATAAACAACCCGCATGTAGGTGGTGTTTTGTTACCATTTTGCCAGGCCCCAGATACCAGATAGATTCAGTCACTAGTCCAAGGCCACACAGTCAGAAATAAGAAAGAAACAAAGAAAGAGAGAGAGAGAGAGAGAGAGAGAGAGAGGAGAGAGACAGAGGAGTGAGAGAGAGGAGTGAGAGAGAGGAGATAGAGGAGAGGAGGGGGGGAGGGGGGAGAGGAGATCCATTGACAAGGTCTAATGTTAGACCTTGTCAATGGAAAGCCCAGTAAAGACCCTGCAATGAATGGTAGAAAGGGCATCTCTTGAGGTTCCTGTGTGCTTCTTCGATTTCTCCTACCATGGCTACTAGGGACATGCAGGATATTCCAGTGGTGGCTTCCAGTGGACCAGCTCAGCCAATTCTAGCTGGCTCGCACCATGTCAAGTGGTTTTCTGTGGACCAGTTCTAGCCTATGGCACCCCAGCAAACTACATCATCTAGCAGGCCTTCTCCACATTCTCTCCTCCCAGGTCTGACTCTCAGCATTGTCTGGGGAGACACCCTTTTAGTTTCTTCCTTGGGAACTCTGCCTTAGTCTCAGCTTAGAGGTAGTAGCAACTCCCTACATTTACTGCTGTAATATTCCTTAGATGCTTTTTTATAAATTTTTGAAACTAAACACCTCTTACTAACAATTCTTTGCATTAAGTTTTCCTTGTTCAAATCACCAGTCTGTTTTCTCTCTCCTGACTGGAATCTGACTCACACACTGACACATTCTCCCTTTTATCCCCTACATTCTCATGTGGGAGGGGAGGGGGCAAGGAGGAATCATAATGTTTCAAGCCCTTTAGAATTTACAACTAGTGTTCAATTTTTAAAAAATATATTTACTTATTTTGCCTAGAGAGAATCCAATAGGTAAGTTTTAAGTATCACATTTTATACCCAAGATCACACCACTGCACTCCAGCCTGGGTGACAGAGCGAGACTCTGTCTCAAAAAATAATAATAATAATAATAATCCAATACTCAAATACTCTTGACTTGGGGAAGCTGAGAACATTTGCCTGAGCTCTGAAGAATGAGTAGTTCAGGCAGATGACATAAAAGGGCATTCTGTGCAAAAGCAAATGTTCAGGAAGAGACTTGAAGAGTTTGGGGCATATTAAATTCGTAGGCGTGTTTGGAATGTAAAGTTCCAGACAGGTCCAGGAAAAAAGCCAACAGTAAAATGTGGCTTAAATTTTTTAAAAGAGTGATCATATATCTACTCAAAGCCTCCTTAAAGCAGCACAGTATCATAAGGAGGCTATTTATAGCCTTAACAGTACTTTAGCCCCTCCCCTTCACCAGCTGCTAAAAAGAAAGTCCAGGTATTAGTGTTGATGAGTAAGATTCACACACATCTGAGCAAATAGCAAGCCAAGTACTTATGTATTAGAGTTGGAGTGATCCTCAGTAAATAACACTTGTGATTTGAAGGAACAGAACTCTTGCCCTGCCCCCGCTCCCATTCAAGATGCAATCATTCTTCCATATGGGCAAACCAAGAGGTAAAGTTAAAAAGCTACTAGAATTTTTTCCACCCGATTTTGTACTCCTATTACAGCTGATACAACAACCCAATTTAATTCAAATCAATTACCTACTACAAGTTTTAACGTTTTAGTCAAACAACTAGGAAGCTGTAGTATACATTCAATTTGCCTATAATTATGGGCCAGTTTCTGCTACATGCTCAAACAAGAAATAATAAGGAGTGGATTTGTGCTGCTAGAGCATTTAACATAAGAGGTACCTCTGCTTTTGCAGATGAAGCCACAATCGCTCTAGTTTCTATTTACATAGTGCCTCTTTTCATGGAGATTTAAGATGCTTCGCCAGCTTTATCTTATTCAATCCTCATTCCAACCCCATAAAAGGAGTTGAGAAGTAATGCTGCATTTTGATAAAGGCAAAACTCAAATATCAAAAGAAAAAAAGTCTGGCAAATCTAGGCCTTAGAACCCAACCACTATCCAAACCACGACAATACTTTTACATTATTGTAACAGGAAAACTGAGACTGAAAAGGCAGAGTGAGGCAGGCAGGACTGGAAAAAGGAATGTGGCAGGCCTGTTGTCTTCCAGTTGGAGGCAGCAGAAGAGCGTCATACACAAGGGACACTGAGAGCTATTACACCAGGGAATATGGTAAGAGATGCCATATTAAATAATGAAGTTTTAGTTCTTACTGGTATCAGAATTTCCAGGCATTTGAGGACTATTTCCCACCTTGGATTATCCCAGATCTAGCAATATGCTGTACTTAACAATATAATTTTTAAACGTTATATAAAACAGATCCATGTTCAAATTATTATAAAACAGATCCATGCTCAAATATGTTAGAGAAGCATTAGCTTTAAATACAATTAGTTCCTTTTCTGCAGAACCCATCAGGATCTTTAGTATTGTGCACTGGATTATCAGAGAAAAAAGATCAAATACCATTTCCAAAACTTATTTCACAAGACTATTGTTCCTTTTTATAGTCCAGAAGAATACGTTAAGATCTCCTGCAGCATTACCTGACTGAATGGTAAAGTCTGATTACAACCAGATGCTTCACTGGGAGGCAATATTATCCATAAAGACCTAAATCCCCCATCGACATTTTATTTAAGAGAAACAAGGATAGATTCATTACCTTTTGGTGGTCGTCTCTGTAACATTCCTGCTGTATCATTTCTAAAAGGTTTAGAGCCAACTGCTGCCTAGACGGACCTTCTTCATTCATAGATATACAGTCTTCCAAGGCAGTAGAAGATAGTATCTGCAGAATTGGCATCACTAGCAGCAGAGAGGACTTTGGGATTTTCTGATCCTCAGTAACAGAGAAGAGCTTCAAAGCTATTCATCAAAATAATAATTCACATTTTTAAAAATTCAGTCAGACAAAACGCAATTTTGCTTAAGAGTGATATGCCAGAAAATTTTCCTCCCTTTTACAACTGGGTCAGACACATAACTAGGATGATAAATCTCATCCTAAAAGGGGTATAAAGAAACTATTATGTAAAATAAGCTGTTAATGTATATAACTGAAAAATTGATGATACTGTTACAGAAAGTCATAATATAAGGTAATCAACTACTTTTTAGATCTATATCAATTTTTTTTTAAAACACAATTCAACATTCGTCCTTAGTATCTTCTGAGATGCTAGTATTGCCCTCGGCAAACAGAGCTAAGAGACCGAGAACTACTGGATCAGTGGATAACAAGGTCAATGTACATGCTTCCTTTACAAAGGCAGCTATGAATCATATTAGCAAAGTGAAGCAGGACTGCCCTTCAGCTATAATAAGCCAATTGTGAGAGTCCCAAAGTCCAGAACCACAACAATAACAACAAAAAAAAAACTTACTAAATGATTAACATAGAAACAACTTACGGAACAGATACATACAGATATACAGTAACGTAGTTACATGTAGAGTTCTAGACTATTAATTGAATGAGTTATGGCATAAATCTACTTTTTTCACAATTTATTTCAAAGTGATTTAATTAACCCTAATTTACTAAAAGATGTTATTCATGGGCCTTGAAGTTAAATTGTAAAAATATTCAGTTGATTTCCCACTACACCAAATATAATCCTATAAGCCTTGAATCAAGTCGATGAGTTGTCAGCATTTTTTTTTTTTTAATATCAACTGGAGGTCAAACCTTAACATGATACTAAGTACAAACACCTGTTACTCTAACACTACTAATTTACTTTTCTTGCCTAAATATTGGTCTTAATCCATAATTGTTTCTGAGACACTATAAAAATCCATTATCTTTAATAAAACAGGAAATAAATATAATACAAACATGTTAATAGCCTATAGTATAAATCTAAATATTCCAGGCAGTTTTATAACCTGCTATTTGTAATCAAGGCTACAGTTAACAATTATATAGTGTAATACTATATTAATATAAAAATTAACATATATATTAATCTTTTATATCTGGAATAATCAATATTCTCTTGGTTATCCTTTTCCTTTGAATACTCTTTCCCCATATAATAAACAATAGTTCTTCCTTACTTTCCAACATGACATACTGGCTCAGCAGTTTCCAGTATGGTTTATTCACTCTAAAGTAACTGCAAATCAGAGACACTGGTTTACGAGAGAAAGAAAAAGTCTGATAGCTAGCAAATAACAAATGCATTTGCATATTTGATCCTGTATTGTCTTTCTCTTATACATGAACCACAATATAGAAATATAGCTTCAGAATTCGAAATGTGGCTTCTCCGAGGCTTTAGAATTTTTTTTGTCAAAAAAACAATTAAAATCCATTTATATGAAATGCCTAGAAAAGACAAATCTACAGAGACAAAAAGCAGATTAGTGTTGGTCTGGGACTGAAGGTGAAAATGAGGATTAACTACTAATGGTCACAAGAAATTTGGGGCAGATGACTGAAATGTTCTAAAACTAGACTGTGGTGCTTGTTGCACAAATCTATAAATTTAATAGAAAACACACTATTCTGAATTTTATGCTACATAAATTACACCTCAATAAAGCTATTTTAAAAAATAAAACTATAGCTGTCAGAAGCAGCAGCACTGGTAAATGGGAAGATCCCATGTGCACTGCTATAAGAAAAGGCAAAAACAGATCAGACTGGGGAGGGAGGGCATAGTGAATATACGCCAATAGTCAAAAGCAGAGTACAAAACACGTGCTAAAGCCATTTCCAAGACACGCTGTAAGTGAAAGGGCAATTCACTTCCAAAATCATAAATTAAAATGCCCAGAAGGATAAGCTATCTCATGCACTGTTTTGAGACGGAGTTTCACTCTTGTTGCCCAAGCTGGAATGCAATGACGCAATCATGGCTCACTGAAACCTCCGCGTCCCACGTTCAAGCAATTCTGCCTCAGCCTCTCAAGTAGCTCAGATTCCAGGCTCGCACCACCATGTCTGGCTAATTTTTTGTATTTTTAGTAGAAACGGGGTTTCATCATGTTAGCCAGGCTGGTCTCAAACTCACAACCTCAGGTGATCTGCCCACCTCGGCCTCCCAAAATGCTGGGATTACAGGCATGAACCACTGCTCCCAGCCTCTCACACACTTTTTAAAAATAACAATGGCAGTTTATCAACATATCATGGCACTATACAACGTAATTTAGATCTCTCATTGTTATGTGTATTATTTTGTCTCAAACTAAGCAAAGCAAGGCAACATCAATGTAAAAGCCTCATTTTAAAAGTATGACATGTTTGCCAATCTGCCAGTAGGGCAACTAGCTTCTTTACTACATTCTTCTTAAGGAGAACATTTTTGCCTCCCTTAGCCCCCTCCTTCACTTTTTTTTAAATCAATACTGGACTGTCAAAGAATATTATCTTTCATTTGTTCTAGCTAGATTCATACAATAACTGTAAGTTAAACTCTGTTCAATGTAGCACATTTTGAATAATAAAGTGATAGTTTTAAATATAACTACAAGTACTAAACACTTTTCTTTCAAAGATTTTATACTAACATTTTTCATTTTGAGGAACAATGCTGAATAAGGTGATATGCCATTCAATATATTCCTGAATGTTACTGCTATATAAGGTTAGATTATAACCTTCTAACATGCAGCCAAGATACTTGGCAAATTATATTAAATCTTGCACAAGGTAAAACCTTATTAGGCAAGAGAAAAACCTATTTTATAATGAGTAGAAAAATTACAGATGGAAACTCAAAATACACAGGATAGCATGATACATAGTTCAAGCAACTCCTGTCAATACTCATGTTATATTTTACATTTTACTGTAGTGACTGTATTTTTATTTACCTAGATTTAAGAGTGGCTTCTGCTGACATGCTGGAGTCTGTAGAAGTAGTAAAGCTATTCCAATTATGACCAGTTCAACAGGAAAATCCTAAAAGAATAGAAGGGGAAAAAGGAGTTGTTAAAGAAGTTCCCAGAACCATGGCTTATAACATGTATCCAGGAAGAATATATCTACCATGAAAGACTGCAAGCCTATTACACAGATTTATTCACACAGTAAGTGCGCTCTGCTAAAGAAAGAACTGGTCAGTGCCACACGGTCACACATAAATTCAAAATGTTGTATTATACAGCCGAAAAGCAAGAAGATACAAATGAAATAATTCAGAGGGAAAGCTCAACACAGCAGATAAACAAGTCTTCTAAAGAGACAATCTTGGCTAACCATTGAAAGCTGCCTAAAACACTAAATTTAAAAATATTTCATTTCAGAAAAGTAGTTCAATTTCCTACTTACCTAATACAGACATGATTCATCTATATAAACTGCATAATGAATTACACTAAACAAGTTTTAGTAAATCATGTTATACTAAAAGAAATTTTTTTAAAAAGCCTTTGCTTTTGTGGGAACCCAGGCTCTGCTTTTGCCTTTAGGGAAACTCAGGCTAACTCAGAGCCTGAAAATAAATAAATAAAATACAATAAAACAAATAAGGAAAATATGTAAAATAAGGAAACGTTTAAAAATAAAACACAAAAAATGAATAAATGCCTTTATACTCAGCCACAGACGTTGGACAAGTCCTAGTAACAGAAAACAGCTGGAGTCCATACTTTTTGTCCTCAATTCAAATGAAAACAGCACTAAACACCACCTATGTACCAGGCATTAAGTACATATGCTGGGTTTACGAATGCCACTGTGGACAAAACAGTCCCTTTTCTCAAGAATTTTACAGTATGGTCATGGAAAATTATCTTTTAAGAGAAAACAAAGCATGGGAAGGTAGCAGAAAAAACGAAGACGGTGGTCTAACTCACACAATCCTCCAGTGCCGTATCTTCACTACATATTTTGTTCCTCTGGCCAGAGCTCGATCAAGCCAGAATGGACCAAACAGATCATTTTTCCTACAAAATCTGAAAACTTAACCTGAGATACACAGTGAAGAAAAGTGGTTGGAATTAAGTCATCAGCTAGTGGTGTCTTAGAAACCACAAGTTTCTGACCCCTCCCAATGTTGGAATGTTTCACTCATTCTTCACTTTGAGAGCTACCCAATCTCTCCGAGTGAGCATCATTTTGGCCTCATTTTGAAGTGCAGGGTACATTTATTTTGCTTGAAATGGAAAGCACCTTAAGTTATGATGATTCAAATAAGGCTAAAAATGGCTCAATTAAGACCAAATCCACAAAAACTAAAGCAACCTAAAAAACAAATACATTTTCAATGTACAGTAATACAACTCGGATATAAGCATACAAAGAGAACAGAGTGGGAAAAAAGTTAATATTTGAATAAAACATCCAGCTGATAAACCCAGTCAAACAGAAATGTAGGTGTGGTCTCAAAATACATAAGACTGCTTCATTCTGCTTCATTTTATTTCTAATTATAGTATATATAGGCCCAAAGGATATGTTTGCAAATTAATTTTCTTAGGGTTCCTTTTTTTAATCTCAGGAATATTAAAATGGGGATGGGGCACAAAAAACTTCATTACACAAATATCTCAACAGTTCTACTAATTGTTACTTCCTTCTAAAATTGATAAAATATTGGGCAAATGAGAAACATAAATAGAACCTTTCCTCACCAAAAATCTTTTCATTTTTTCTAAATGACATTACTATCCTGTAACTCTACATTATAATCAAAAGCATTTTAAAAATTAGACTCAAGAGCCAATCTATTAAGAGATTCCCCCTGGCCAAGTAGGACAGTTCAACATTGAATAAAGATAATATCTATGATAGACTGAAATGCATCAAGTATGTTTAAATTCATGAATTCATAGTAATTCTTTTTAGAATTAGTAAATAAAGAGAAAGGGAGAAGAGTAAAGCATTTACCCTAACTTTCCTATTTAAACTCAACCACTGGATAACCAAAGAGTAGTTCGTTGTGGGTGGGAGGGGGAGAGTTTCTTTTTATGGAAGTATTCCAGCTAATAAATGAAGAAGAAATGACAGGATTAGAACATTACCACTTTGCAACTCCTAATGAATTAACAGAACTAGGCATTGAGTATCCACAACTACTAACATCATTAAAAGAAAAGCAACATACACACATTGTGCCTTTTGATGGCATAACACACCACCCCCTGCAGTCTTGGAAACAAAGAATAAAATATCCTGAATCCAGTCAAGGCTTTAGAGATAACTATCTTGGAACAGAGAAACGCATTAAAGCAGTGGTCCCCAGCCTTTTTGGCACCAGGGGCTGGTTTCATGGAAGATAATTTTTCCACACACAATGGGCAAGGGATGGTTTCAGGATGAAACTGTCCCACCTCAGATCA